TTCTGAAAGTGGAATTTGTTATGAGTCTTCTTTTATAACAAAAAAGTTGGGCTGTAAGGCATTATGATCTAAACTAACTCCTTGCTTTAAAAAGGTTGGAAGAAGACAGCCCAAAAAGAGAAATAACAAAAAAAGCTAAGGACCTTATAAAGTCGTCCACGGTTAGTTTAAATATGCGTTTACATCTAACAAATCTTTGAAATATTTCTTACTATTGACTTTTTGGTAAAGAATGACATTAAACAGGTGGAGAAACTCTGGAGATTTATTAGCAAAATTCCTCTCCAGGAAATTACAAACACAACACCCACTTCAAGTGAAGTAATTCCAAGCTCAAAAAAACGAAAAACCATGCCACGTAAGAATAACTTAATATCGAATTATGGTGGTTGAAATTTCGGCACACCATTCGTACATAAATCGATAATAATTCGTTAAACATTTAGTAGCTGAATGTTTAACGAATTATTATCGATTTATGTACGAATGGTGTGCCGAATGTATGCCGATTTTCCAAATTTCAACCAGTGCCTATACTATATTTGATTATTTATTATTATTATTTTGATTAAATTTTTATATCTTGTAGACTCGGTTTCTAGGTCCGAAGTTTACAAGGAAGTGGAATTTGAAGCGGCAAAGGAGAGTGAACTCCTCCATCAACCTATCAAGACATTGAAACTGCCCTCATTAGTTGAAGATTATATCGAAAGTGAACCAAGGCCAACTAACAAAGCGACGGAAGAAAACGTCCAGTCCTGGTTCAATGGGTTGATGGAGGCTTCAAGTACGGAGTGGAGGACTGCGGTTGCTGTTGACACGCACCTAAATGCTTATTTAGGTGGGTATATGCCCGATATAAGTATTTTTGATTGTGAGGACTCTGAGGATGGTGCCTTTATCGCTACGTATGCTCGAACCACACTAGAGATAAAGAAACAGAAGAAAGTGTCAGGTCTAACTGATGAGGACAAAGGCCAATTACTTGATTATATTTATATTTTAGTCAAGGAACAGCCGTCACGTCAATTATTCTCTGCATTTCTTTCTGATGGAGTGTTTTTTTATGTGGTAACTTATAACAGAGAAAATCATATTTACAAGGAGCTGAATTTGTCTTTTAAAAAAGGCATAATTCTCTTCTGGTATATGGTTTCTCAAAAGTCACCATATACAATGATAACTAACAATTAAAGTAAGAGGTAAGTTAAATTATAGATGTTACGAATAGTTGTTGTGACGAACAATATTGTATGTACACAAATACCAGAAAAAATGAAGGTGTCACCTATTCTATATTTAATCTGATAAATAGTGCTATGTTGTTCGATCAAGATATTTCTATTCGACTATCATTGCTAACTCGAGATTATTTTTATAATATTGTTGCAAAGGATCTACGCTGCGTTCCGGTGGCAAAATGTAAGGATATTCTACCTCTAAATCACGGTATGAGGCTGATTGGATGATTTTAGTTGATCGAGAAGTCAGAATTAAACGAACGGCGCCGAGGACTTTCCCTGGTATGATGACAGAATCGTATGTATAAATTATCCTATAATAGTAATGCAATCTGGTAGAGACAGATTTAGTGACCTGGTGAGGCGTCTGTTTAAGAAAGATAACCGTGGAAAACGGATAAACATAAAACTTTCTATGTGCCAGAACGTCTTTTTACTATCTCTAGTTATTTGCTTAAACTATAATCATTATAATTCTGGAACTTGAAAAAAAATTAGTAGATTTAATTGTTCTTTCATGTATAGTAAGATATCGATCAAATTCTATAGCTTTTATTAATTCTAATAATTCATCAATTTCTTTATCCTGAACTTTAGAAATAGCATTATTCGTGATAATTGAATAATCAATCGCCCGTCCCATTCTCCCTCTTTTATCGTACATACGTACATAGTTGAAGGTGTGAAAGATTTATGAGATCACCTTATTACCCACGCGATTTCTTCGGGGCAGATTTGAGAGAAGCATGAATTGTCTTTGGGATTCGTTTAAGATTTTTTCTTCTTTTTTTACTACGACTATTCGAAATCTTTAATTTGTAATAATACTGTTCTTTTTTAAAAATAATTCTAAACATTTACAAAAACAAGTTTGGTGAAATTTACTATAAGCGAAGGTTCAATAAGTTACATAAAAAAATAATTTAAGTGAAGGCTCAGCAAATATTTTAAGCATGAGCGAAGGTTTAATAAGTAATCTGAGTGAAGGTACAGTAAGTAATTTGAGTGAAGGTACAGTAAGTAATTTAGTGAAAGTTTCATTATTTACTCTATATTGTTATCATTAAATAGTTCGTTGATCTGTATAATACAAATTTTTTACTTAATTCGTCAATGGGAGTCTCTAAACACTCCCATATCATTTTCCGATTTCAAATTTTGCTACACTTATTCTTGAAATACGCTACTTTTTTTTAGCTCTGAAACACATTAATACTTACACAACAAAACATGAATTTATATGATATTTAGTAAATTCGCTAAAAGTTTTTTAAATAGCTTTTCCGATTTTGTATTTCACAAGGAAAAATTTTCTTAGTTTTTTAAATAGTTTTTTAGTGTTACTTTAATTATCGTAAATAATTAGAGCTATAACGAGCTAACGGTATAAAAGAGAAAAAAGTTAATTATAAAGAGGTTCGTTTTACTGTATAAAGTCGATATATATTAGGGGAAAAAAAAGTTTGTTGAATAAATTATTAAGTTTTTTAACTTTTTAAAAACGTTCATTAATAATACGGTAAATAATCTTTATTAACATATTCGTTAAAAGAATTTACAGCATTGTATAAAGAATAAATGGTTTGCCGATTGCAAGGCGACATAATAACAAATACAGTAATTGCAGATTGATAGAAATTTTTTGAATTCCGGAATTATCATACGTGCCTATCCGGAGCACAACTTTGTACACGGTATATTATTACTTAAAAAATTACTTTGCCCATCCATGCTCACTTGGTTAATTTATTCAATTTCCAACTAATAAAAATTTACCTCCGATCCATTGAGTGAGGTTCTTGAGAACACCCTTGGTCAAAACTTTTTGCCCGAACCATCTTTTTTTTGCGCTGACTTATCAAAGCTTTATGAATAAAGTATTGTTCAAGTGTTTTCATATATTATGGATTTTCATTATTTTTGTAAAACTATCTAGAATCCTTTCAAGCAGTGATTGAGATCTTTATTTAATCTATCGTTGCAATTGAGCATCACTATAATTGTTAACAATAATAGTACGTAATGTTTAAGCATATCTCAATAATAGGCGGCATAATAATTTACATTAAACTAGTACTGTATTGTATAGAATTAGAAATCTTATTTTTGCATTATCTTTAAGATTTTCTATAACAATACCGTTTTAACGTAAATTATGGATGCCGCCAATATTGTCATTCGTATTATTGACTTTTATCGTTATAATGCCGATCATCATGAAATTGCAATGCTCTAATAGTAAAATCGCTCAAGGAAACATTTTATTAGGGCAATAAATGTAGTTTTTTTATGTTGGTTTTTGTGAAAGTGGCACATTTTTCAAAACAGGCCAAATTTGTAGATCATTTGGCCTATTGGAGATTAGTATGAAACAATCAATAGGCCAAACGATCTACAAATTTGATCGGAATTAGATTGTTTTGAAAATGAGCCCATGTGTTTGTGTAACTAATGATGCATATTGACGATCAATAAATGTTTATAAATACATTGTTTTTTTTTTTGATAAACTTTGCCCTTTAATGATTGCACATTTCGAACCCACCCAACCTCTTAGTGTAAAGCAACGTTCAAGCATACCTAGTGTTATTATTGATAGCACTAGTTTAAACCAGGCTGGAGCAAATGCCTAAGAAAGCTGGGTAACAAGGTGAAGGATAACTGATGCAGAAAAGCAATGTCCTCACTTTTGTTTTGGGATCGATATAGTATAGAAGGGCCACTCTTTTTTATTTTATTTTTTTTAAATATCGTTTTTCTTTTAAAAAACGATGCGCCAACGAACTGGGAACACTATGCATGGCTTAGGGGCCGGTGTCTCTCTCCCTTTAAAAGAAGTTGGGCGATTTTTTAATATGAACTGCATGCATCTACCTCCCCATTGGTGCGGTTCGGAAACGATGCATCGAAAGATGCTCGGCCAAATGATGCTTAATTTTAGTAAATATTAATCAAAATTCGAATATAAGTTTCACTACAATTTCTATCCATTAATACTTTTGTTTTTTAATTTATAATTAAAACTTCTAATATTCGATTATTCATTAAAGGTTTTACGGGTTAAACTGATGAAGAAAAAAAAAAAGAAATACGCGACAACAAAAGAAGCATTTGATAATTAAAAGGAAAAAACTTTAAGTACATGTACGTACATATTTTTTAATTTAAATAAATAAAATTTGAAAATTTACAATTTATTCTATTTTTTGAGTATAATACAGTCAGGGCATATACCGTTTTGATTAAAACCAGAATTTGAAATAATTTAGCATTAGGGTGGGGTTAGGAAAGAGCAAATTTATAGGTAAAATCGTCTGCTTCAAGACAGGTTTAGACTGTCGTTTTTCATATTTTTGCATCTTTACTTTTTAACTTCTTCAGGCTGATCCGTGTAAACAAAATTTCGCGATCCCGGTTGGTTGATTCATGGCTTTAGACAACTACCCCAGTATCGCCATCAAAAATTCACCTTCACGTGATTTTCGACCAATAAAAGATCATAATTTGGTGTAACATAGCACGATCAGGAAAATTCAAAACAAACATATTTTTTGTAAAAAATCGCTTGTTTCTCTAATGTTTGCATAAGAAACCGGCTTTCAAGCACAAACAAAAAGTTTTCCTTGAGCGATTTTACTATTAAAACTCTTCTAACCCAAATCTTAGCATAAACCCTAACCCTAATCTAAACGAATTTTAAAGAATTTTTCGAATTTCACTTTTTGATAGGAGATCCCCAAATTTGGATAATGATGATCACATCTTATTTAGTAATTATCATCTGTTAGGTTTTCTTTAAGAACATTCCAATTTATATATCATTATCATTAATCATTTTCGAGCTGTCGCAATCTATTATGCTGTTATATAAGTATTACGAATTAAGAGAAAACCATACTTCGGGCTTTAAAGTTTATAATCTAACTGACTTAACAAAATAATTAATACAGTAATATAATTCGTTTCTATCATGAAAAGATCTTTCAGAATGCAGGTCATTAAGTTATAAAATCTGGTTTTCTTTTGGAGTACTCATGTTTCGGATAGAGTTTTTTTGCCATGTCTAATTTTTATTTAATTTTAAGATCAGTTTATAATTTTTAAAGCAGAATAGCCGTGGCAAAAAAATTTGTAGTCATGTAATTTCTAATCGTTCTGAATCTTATGGTGCAGCTAGAAACAACATACAAAACTTATGCAATTATATATATCACTATATTATTAGTGTTGGTCGTTAGTTGGTCTACAATTATCTGATTAAGATTTTTTTTTGCCACAGCTATTCTACCATAATTTTTAGCAAATAAGTATGATTATTTATTTTTCATTAGTTACGTAATCAATATTAGGTGATTTGAGTTCGTAGATATTTACTGATGTATTTGTAAGATCCTAGCAATGCCAATCTAAAAACTTCACTATTAACGTTAGCGTTAACATTAGGCTTTTTATATTATATATATCTGATCCTGAAACTTATTTTGACTAGATAGAGGTTGATGATGCCTATATATTATCGTTAGCAATTAAAGTGAAAAAATTATTTAATTTTTATTTTCTAGAGGGTTTTAGTAACAATGCTTATATTATAATTAATAAACGTTTTTTAATTTAAATTTATAATTTTACAAATTACTTATAGCCGTTATTTAAAATTTATGCTTTATTTAACCTGTATTTTATTGAATTACGGGTATATAATTTAAAAATTAATTTAAAATAATACATATTTATTAATAAAATAAAAAATAAAAATCATATATAAACTCTACTCCAAATCCTTTGACTATAATATTTAAATGCGATTAATATATAAACCTAATAACTTATTCCAAATAAATTAATTAATCAATATTTTTCACCTGAATAAATATAATTAACATAAGTTTTGATTAGCTTAGTCCAAACATACTTCGATTAATAAACATTACATACCAAATTATTTTGTAGATCTAAATGGCTTACTCCAAGTGCTTCATAAGCCCAAAAAGTGTATTCAAAATACTTGCATTGTCACCATTTCTTAAATCCTAACTCGACAGCTTAATATTTCTATCTAAACTTCAAAAATAAATAAGGATCGATCTTTGGTAAGCAAATGCTACAAAAAAAAAAGCTTGAAACATTATTTATTTGACAAAATTACTTTTTCTATTTTAACTAGAGATGGAAAATGTTTTAAAACGGAATGTTTTAAAACATGTTTGTTTGATTTAAAACTGTTTTTTAATGATTTAATACATTCTGACATAACCATAATACGTAACAATGGGATAGTATTTATTTAATTGATTTAATACATTCTGACGTAATCATAATACGTAATAACGGTGTAGTATTTATTTATTTAATTAATTACGTC